TTACTAAAGTAAATAAATAAATATTAAGCTTTTTTTTTTTTTTTTTTTTTTTGTAAATTTTGATACCCTTTAGATCATAATTGTTCTTTATTTCATAAATTACGGTTTTCATATTTTTTTTTAATTTTATAATTTCTGCATGCCATCTTACCAGATTTAAACTGATGATCTATAATCCGGAAAAATCGATAATCTGGAATCGTCGAAGTCCCGACGAGTCCAGATTAACGACTTTTGACTGTATTGTAATTGCGAAAAGTTTCAGGCAGCATATTTCAACTCAAATATCCATTTTCACTGCTATCAAACGCAATTTAATGATGTTTTTCATGACATCTGTACGCAAGGACAGGATAAAAGACTTCCCCCCCCCCAAAAAAAAAATTGTAAAACTAATTAAAATTTTTATTTGCGTCAGTGCGTACGTACGTATGTATCTCACATAACTCAAAAACGAAAACCCTCAGAACGTTAAAATGTTGCATATAGGACTACTATAACATGTAGAGGTCAACCTCATATTTTGGTTGCAATCGGCTGCACCAAAAGTATATAAATATATATATATATCCACTCTGTTACTCGGCTCGGTGATCTCAGTTTCTTTATTCTTATATGTTTGCAAATTGTGCATTTTTTGCTTTAAAAATGATTGAATTATGTTGTTCTTATCTTCCGATTAAGGTTTTTATGCAATATTTTTAGAATTACCAACAATTTAAAAGTTGTTTAAGTGCCGCTAAGCCTAATAGTTTTTTCCATGGCGGCCATTGCTTGTTTGCATTTGAAACAAAATAGTAGATTTGTTGCCAATCTAGAGAAAGTAAGCTTCGCAATAACAAAGATAATGCCTTCTTTTATTATTTCAAATTAAATCATGCTTAATCTATTCTGGAATTTATTCGAGGAAATAAGTGTTTAAGATTTACTTCATAATTTTCAATACAGACATCTTGAGTTTTAATGTATTTTTGCTTTGTTGCAAAGCGAGAACTGAAATAATTGAATGAGCAATACTGAATCGTCTGTAAAAAACTGTTTCTTTTTTTGTTTTGTTTGCTTAATTTCTTTTGTACATCATTTTAGATTTATTATAGTATTTGAATAGAACGTGGCTACGATTAGATAATTCTTAAAGGATATAAATTTTGTGCATTCTGAGTTAAAAAATGAATGAATTGTAATGCTGTTAAGTGAACCTAGGGCCAGAGTATCACTATGGTAAACTAATATAGTGAATTTTAAAAAGTGCTTTTATTCTGTTGTGGTTTATTCGCTATCAACAAAGTAAATTTAATTCAATCCAGTAAGTTTGAATGAAATGCAAGAAAAAATGGGTATAATTTAATATTCCGTATAAGGAAATCATGTGGTGCACACATCAGATTTTTTTTCTTTCTAAGTAACACAGTTGTACAACGCTTCTGAAAGAATGGCTGTATGATATTACTGCCTTTGTATTTTGTGTTCACCATAACAAGATAACTTATAGATGAATTTTTTATTTCATCATGTCATTCTATCACCGATGGATTAATACCAAATAATGTTTGTTGCATTTGTTTATGGTGTCTTCACTAAATAATATGGAAATTATGTATAATTAGTTGTATTGTCTTTAGCTACTGAGACTTACAAGTGGGTACAAATAGTTTTCACATATGTATCTGGATACAAGCTGGCAAACCAACCAGTGCTTGGAATTTGCCTTTGCTGTAGAATTTCATTTGGCTGTTACATGAAGATATAATGCTTGGAAAGCCATTTCCTGTGAGAGCCAGATACTCTTGGTAGTAAACAAATGAACCTTCAATATTTTTATACTGCACTCATGATAGCATAGTAGTATAATGACTATTTTTTGCCACTATTTTTATCACAATATCCCCAGACCATTTTTCCAAAAATATCTGGCCTGGGCACACCATGCCACAAAGGGCTAATGACTGCCAAATTAGCATGTATTTGGACAGTCTGTTTTGATTGGCTGTAACATACAGTATCTGAATATTGCCATCTGTATCTGCAGCAATCTTCAGCCATCAAATTCAACTGTGATTTCAAAAATTCCTAATTTGCAATGCCAGCTTATCTTTTGGAAGCCAGTTTAGTAAGCATTATGATCATTTATTTGTAGTGACATTGAGCTTAATAGGCCAAAATTTTAAAACATAATATGCTATAATGTAATAGTGACCTTTATTATGAGCCACTTGTGATTGCTTTGGGGTTATATGTTATAAAGATTATGCTAATTATGCCATTATTATATTAGAGAAAAAAATATAAATTGATTAAAATTAAGAATTTGAAATTATTGATTATATTAATAAAATATTATTTTTAAATTTGTATTTTCTGGGACAAACTTATTTTTTTCTCTTTTTAATACTTTAATTTTAAACAGAAGCAAAATATAAAATGCAACAATTTAAAATTTTCGTGCTAAAACTTTAAAACTGCAGCACTTAGGAGCAATCATATTAATTGCACTGACAGCTTTATGCATCGTTACAGTTACTATAAATTAATTCAGAATAAAGATTACAGCAATTAAATTTTAACAATTTTTGGAGGAAAGCAAAGAGTGACGTAGAAATTGGCAAAAAGCTAATAAGATAAATCATGTGTGAAATACCTTTGGTACATAAAAACTATCAAGAAATGAAGTAGAATTTTAGTGGGAAAGATTTGAAAAATTACAGTAGCTCTAAACATGAAATGCGACAATTAACAAAATCAAGGTAATTTTTTGCTTCTAGTAATAAAGTACCATCTTCCTGCGTAAGGTTTTGAAGATGGATTGTCTATTTTCAAATGTAGAACCATGCAGCAACAATTTATGTAGACCTTCCAACTTACCATTAACTAAATCACTTGTGGTTTTCAGTGCAAAGCGCTTTCATACTTTAAACCAGTGATTTTCATCGAAGAACACAGTTAAGTTTTAAAATTTTTAAGGAATGCCTCGGGAAATTTTAAATATAATAAATGGTACCACACATATTAGATAACCAAGATAAACATTTATTTGAGTTTTAAAATTATATCTATAAATGAAACATTTCCAGTTTTTAATGTTAAAAAAATAACATATTTCAGTATTCATTTGTTTTTGTATTATTCCATATGTCTATAAAATATCAACAAACAGTAAGGTCAGGTTTCAGATTATCATCATTCCTAGTTTAGAACTCAATGCAATTACAATGGTTTTACAGTGGGTGTTGTAAAAGAATTAATAGTTCTAAATTTTGCTGTCTCTATTAAAATATGGATTTCACTGATAATTGCAATACCCAAACTTGGATGTTCATTGTTTGTATCTATGGTTTCTGGTAAATAGGAGAATTACCCAAATTTTTGTAAATTTAATAATTTTCTTGCATTTCATGGACTTTTTTTGGGGGGATTGCATTGTCGTATTTTTAGTCCGAAAGGCGTTAGCCCAGAGGGGCTATTAATTTCGTTTTGGCATTTTGCTTTGAAAACTTCAAAAGGCTGAATCACTTTTCAAATTTTTGCTGCCAAGTATTATTGCCCTGCATTATATTAAAAAAATTAAATAATAAAGAATCTTCTTAAATGTATGTATGTTTCTCACATTGTGATAAAACAACTGTACCTAGAGCCATCAAATTTTGAATAACATATGTCTCCACTCGAATATGGGCATTTGTAAGCCCAAATTTGGAATTACTTTTATTATCTATTTCATATTTTTTAAAGTATTTATGAGTTTTTGTTTAAAAAACTCATAAATGCCATGTTCTTTGCGCTTAAACCATAAAATTTAGTTCAATAGCAATGTCGGAAATAATTTAAAAATGAGCATATCTTTAGAATTTCCGATACACAGTTTGACGCGTTGGAGATAAAAAGGCCCCCCCCCCCGTAGAGTGTTGCCATTGCTCACTTTTAAATCGTTGATTTTGTTACTCAAAAATTTGTTAGTTTTACAAAATATAAAATCAATAACAAAACAAATTCCAAATTTCAAATTTGGGATTTCAGATGATCGTATTCGCAGTAGGATTACGTCATTCAAAATTGGCTGGCTCTAGGTACCGTTGTTTTATCCCAATGCAAGAAACATACATACATTTATGCAGATTCATCATTATTTAATTTCTTCAAATATAATGCAGGACTCTAACATTTTGTGGCAACAGTTTGAAAAATGAACCGACATTTATAGGAGTCCGACACAAAATGCCAAAATGAAAGTAATTGTCCTTTGGGACTCAAATCCCTTTGGACTAAAAAATTTTTTTTTGTTGCTTCCAGCATGCTAGACTGTGTGTCGGAAATTCTAAAGGTATTCTCTTTTTAAATCATTTTGCTGTTAAATTGAATCATATGGTGTAAGTGTGAAGAACATGATATTTAATAAATAACGGTAACATATAAAACATTAAAAAACACCCATTTGGGCATAATATAAAATCTGAAAGCTTTCAGATTTTTTTAAAAAAGTTTTATTAAATCTTTTTTCAAATATTAGATTTTTCATACAGTTGAACACTTCTTGTCATGCTTGTTAGATTGTTTATGCATCGTAATTTGCTACAGGTAGGTAATTTAATTTTTAATGCGCTAACAATTTGTGTTTGTTTTTGTTAAAATGATGTAAATAATTAGTTTTTGTAATCTTTATAATTTTCCCTTTCTAATTTACAAGAGGTAACAGTTAATGCATCTGAAGATAATATATAATTAATTTAGTAATTACTAGAGATAAGTTTAATGAAAGTCATATCATAATGAAGGTGAAAATTAATCAAGGTATTTGGAATTTAATATGTAAAAATATGCTATTAACAAATAAAATATGGTAATATGGTAATAAAATATAAATTTATTTTGATAACACTATCTGTATGTTCTAATAATGTTACTCAAGTTATTTGCATTATATTATTTATATAAAATGAATACGGACATTTAATGTCAAATTTCATATTATGCTATGGATAAATAAGTAAAATTACTTACTTTAGGCATGAAGGGAGAATATGGTACACAAGTTATAGAGGTCGATTATGGATACATTCTGCTGGTAAAGTCCCTACTCAAAGAGAAATAACAGAAATAGAAAATTTGTATCGTTCAATTGTTGGTATGTATAATGTATGCCTAAAAGCTCAAAATGAATCTGAGCAGTTTTGTTTTATTGACTTATGCTTAGTTACTGAATATGGTATGATAATAGATGTATATATGTATCCCTTTTTGCTTGCATGCATACATAATGGTCTCCAAATCAATTTAAATTTGATATGGTACATGTCTGAATTGTAAATTAAGCAACTTATTGCATTGAATTCTCCCCCCCCCATTTTTTTCAGATGCTATTGGTCCTTCTGCTAAAAAGGTTATGCATCCCTAATAAAGAGGGACGAAAAGTATTCCTTTATGTCAGGGAGATTAATTGATCTCTCTGTATTTGTTGAAGCTCATTAAAATGTTTTAGCATTATTTGTGTAGATAACGAAACACAAACCTCTTCTAGATGTAAATCTTCTGAAAGCAAGTATGAATTCTTCTGTCGTCATAACTGGAACTAATTCAAGATGGGTTGCTGATGTAACAGCGCAAGTGAATCAAAGTATATAAAATGTACTCATTGTTTTTCACAAAGAGTGAACCACCAAAGTCTACTCCGTTATTGCAAAAGGTGGGATTTTTTAACTCTGCCAACTGGCAATGGTGTTGTAATTTGCATTTCAAGATGAGCATTATAGCATTTACATGTTATAAATCCTTTTAGAATATACTTTATGCATTGTCTTGATCTTATAAACCCAATTACTTTCTCGAGTTTTGACTAACATATCAGAAATTTCTGCATGGTATACTTTCTCATGAGCATCTTTAATAAGAAGTTCAGTGAATCTGTGCTTTGCAGGGCTTCATCATAAAAACTTTATTTTTGATTCTTGTATTCTCCTGCCAACTACAATGATTTCATTCTTATCTAAAGTTAGGTTTAAATCTCAAATCTTTGATTCTTTCAGAATGCATTTTTGGTTTTTTCAGATTCTGTTATTCTTCCGGAAAATTTTCTATTCTCCAGGTGTCAACTCGTCAAACTATAGAAATCTCGGATAGTTTCGATTGGCTTCCACTACAGAAATTTGTAAAAAAGCCTTTTCAGTATCAGCCACAAAGGCAATTTTATTTTTTCTGTAATTTAGAGTGCCAAAATGTTAGGATCTATTTTTGGTGCCTTTAAAAAGATTGTCATTCAAAGACAAGCTGTTTACCTCTTTGCCCAAAGCATCATAAGCAACTCTTAATTGTGTAGTTTCACTCTTTTTCTTAATAACAGGGCATATAATACATTTTGTTTCGAAATACTTCTTTTCAGAATTCATTTTGTCTATAATAATTTCACCTAACTCTTCATTTATAACCCTTTTATATTCACCATAAAGATATAAGTTGCTATTAAATCTGTTCTTGAAAATTAGTAGCCTTTGTTTTGCAATATTAAAATTATTGTTTTTGGTTCCCCTTTAGATGGTAATCTAAATTCGTATCTTTTACCATTAAATTTAATTTCTGTTTCAAATTGTTTTCTAACATCAGAGTGATTCAATGAATTTTCCCAAACCTTTTTTAACTGTGTATTTATTTGACAGTCAGTATACACATCATTAGTTACCTTTTTAATTTTTATAGCCGTATTCAAAGACTGTCAGCATCAATATTACGCAAACATTTTTGAGTAATTCACTAGTATGACTATTCATTGATATCTGACCCTGAACACAGATTCCAGACAAAGTCTTCAGTGCAGTTAGTTAGATTCTTACTTATCTGTTTGCATCCACCTGTTTGTTTCCAAGAAGTATTCCATGGCTATCAAAATTTCAAGTTGTTTTATGCTGTCAGCAAAATATTGATCGGATTAATTGTAGTAGCATTTTAACATGTTCTGTGCTAGTCTATCCAGGGCACAAACGTATGCATTTGTAATTTTATCTGTGATCTTTATTCAAAGTTCTGTTTCCTTTTTAGAATCATATTGTTATTAGTTTCTTGTTACTCCTAATAATTTTTACCATGGATTGTGATTTCCAAATATCTTCTCGTATAATTGGAAGCTTTAACTCATCCACTGATGATTTCACTATAAAGGAACATATTGAAGCATTATCAAATAATACTCTGATAATTTTTTATCTACAAGTTGTTACATTTCTCACGAGGCATGTTTGTAGTGAAATTGAATTTATTCTCTTGCTTGCAGTGTGACAGAGATGAAACTGTAATTTAGGATGTACTCTCATTCTCTTTTTTCGTAACACTTTCATTTGGTGAACTTTTGATTTGAAAATTTATTTTTTCAAAGCATACATTTTCTGCATGAATTTAATTTTGACCTACAATTAGCACTCAAATGTGATTTTTTTGGTAGCTTAGAACAATGACCGATTTATAGCTTGCTTCATTTTTTAGCAGGCAAAAGAACTTTGCATTGAAATGAATTGTGGTTCGCAACACAGAAACACAGTTAAATTTTACACTGGTTGAAAATGCAGCTGTCAGTTGACTATATGCTGAAACAGTTTTTTTATTTATTTCAGTCTTAAAATAATTGCAAAAATCATTATATTTTTAGATTTCTTCATATTGTGTAATAAGCTGGAAGCTTCGTGACATTCCATCTCCATTTTTAAGAATTCAATTAATTTTAAAACATCATATTCCGTTTCTGATTTCCTTTTCCTGTTGTATTCTACGAGTATCTCTTCTGGAACTAGTTTCATTAAAATTGGACACAATAAATGACCATAGCTTCCTGTAACTACATGTAAAGTTTCTAGGGATCAAATATTAGTTTCTACTTCATTGTATAATTTCTGAAAAGCTATATCACTCACATGCTTACTGGATCTGTGCTTAGTAGCTTCTTCATATGCTTGTTAATTATGATGTTGTTTCTTCTGAAATGTTCTTTTAGCAAAGTGATCTTTTTATTGTAATTTTCACTCATTAGAGCAAATCCTTTAATTGCATATAGTGCAATTCCCTTAAACAAACTTTTCAGGTATGAAAATTTTTCAGCATCAGATAAACTTTTGTTTTCATGAATGGAATTTTTACTCCAAAAATAAAGCCAAATGCTTTCATAACTGTAATACTTTAAGCTACTTAATATCAGAAGCTTCAATAATTTTAATTGAGAAATATGTTATTTGTGTTACTTTCCTGTTTATCCAAGTTAGTATTTACGCTTTCATCTGATTTAGATTTTTCTTTCAAATACTAAAGACTTTCAATTTCTTTTTAATTATTTTTCCGCATATTCTTTGCTTCGTATTATTTTGGTTTCAGGCTCTTTTTGCTTATTGCTTGACTCTATGCTAATATTTAAAACTTTTAACATAGCATTTTTATAGGACAGTTATTTTTTTAATTCATTTAGTTCATTAGTTTTTTTTTCCTTTTATTCTCAACTGTTTGTTTTAAAGAACGGTTTCTATTTTAAGTTTAGTCATAAGTTTTGAAACACACCTCGTTTTTTCCTTAAAAATTCAATCACCATAATGAAAAAAAATAAAGCTTACTTCAGGCTCTCAGTCATGGGCATAAAAATGTTGAACTCTTGCAAAATCTTTTTGGAGTGGGTTCTTTCATAATAGCTGCAGAATTCATGAATAAATGAGTCATGATTACATTCATAAAGCTTGAATTCAAACACAGTTACAAAACACTGGTCAAGCACTTGTGATCCTGTCATTACAGACCAGAGGTTTTTTTCACATTGATCAAACTTTATCTGCAGCTAGCACCATCTATACATAAAAATTCTCTACACCATAATACTTATGCTACCGTGATCTCTGCACCACTGCAACCTTTTGTGTAGCTTGTCAGTTATTCAAATTCCTATAGCTCCAATGGCTTTCAATTCGGACTGCCATTAGTTGTCTATTTCTTTTAGCAGTTGTTGTCAAATAGCAATTAACATTCCTAAGAGCCTGTTGTGGAATATTTTAACCTTGACCTCATTGTCTGTTAGTATCACCAGTGTCTTAAAACAGTTTCCAATTCTTCACTTGGCACTTTTGGCTACTTTCAGATTTTTAGAGACCTATGTCAATATCTGGCAGGCCATTCTCCCAACTACACACCATTTCTTACAATCTGTTAAATTCTTATCAACAACATGTTCCACATTTCAAGCATAAAAATTTTCTAGTTGTGCAATCCTAGAATAGGAAGCATTCTTTTGCACTTCTTTCCATCCATCCCCCCCAAAAAAATGGTGCAAAAATCTGTCTTCTACTTATCCATAGTCCAGTCTCAATGTTCCCGTGCCCCGTAGTTGACTATGATGCATGGTCAACAGAGGCACATAACAGTACTGAGCAGGTACATCTGCTCAGTCCCGTATCAAACAGCGTCTGCTGAACTGTGTATTGTGAAACACTTGCACTTAGATCTGCATTATATTGGGCTGTCAGCTGAGCCACAGTCTTTTTGCTGTACGAAGCGGGACAGTCTCCAATGTCTTTTTTCTTTGATGCCATGTGGACATTCAACACCTTGGTGTCTACTGATTTCACTGTCATTTATTGACTTTGTATAAAAGCTAACAATATCAGATCGCAAGCAACCTACCAGTTGTGCAGTTTTGGAGATACTCGTTCTGAGTTTTCGGTCATTGCAATCTGCCTTCTATTAAATTCTCTTAGATCAGCAGCCTTTCTCATAACTTACAAAAGTAAGTGCAAGAATGATTCCTTACCTTCTTCAGCAGCAGTTGAGTACCATTCCCGCTTAATTACATGCCCTCCACATTATCCAGATGAGTTCACTGAGAAGTGTGAGGATCGTTATAATGTTTTGTCTTGTCAGTGTATGTTTATAAACATCATTTTTTCCATCTAATGTATTTTTTTAAGGTTGCAGAACAAAATGTCGACACTACCGTATAGAAGAACCTTGAGTGATATTTGGTGTCAATTTGCCTAACGAGGTAAAAAAGGAAAATACTAATATTTTCCGCATTTAAAGAGAACAACAAATATAACAGTGCATTTGAATGGTCATGTTTAAGAAGCCACCCATGGCATCAGTCAGCTGGCAATCAAACTGGAGCAGAAG